GACACCTGCCTAGTAAGTGTGAGGCCCTAAGTTCAAACCCCAGACCCACAAAGAAAAAAGAAAGCTCCCTTTTTCTAAGCTGCAAAGATGAGAAGAAACAGCCTAATAAGCACATTGGGAAAATAGTTTTAAACCATCACCTGTTGTTGGCAGAATGCCATTTGAAATGAATACTCTTATACTATTTGGTCCTGTGTAAGTATAATAATTAAAGAGAATACCTTGCACATATATCTGTACATCTCAAGGGTGACTTCCAGTCAGCTGTGAGCACAAAGTCTGGGGAGCACAGGAGCTCATCAAGTCTGCATCATCCACAAACTGCTTCCTGGCGACCACCTTCTTTAATGCTCTCAATAAAGACTGAACAAATGTCTAACATTTTTTAATGTATTGTCAATGCTGTTATAATTAATAAACCAAATTGTTCTCAGTGTTTCTGAAATCATAGCAGCTTATCATTCAATGTTTTCTGAATGTATACCTATCATATGGTACTTGATAGTGTAGTAAGAATGAGCTTTTCTTACTTTTTTTTTGGGTAGTACTGAGGTTTGAACTCAGGACTTCAGGCTTGCTAGGCAGGCGCTCTCCTGCTTTACTGCTTGAGCAACACGTCCAGCCCTTTTTGCTCAGGTTGTTTTGGAAACAGAGCCTCTCTTTTTACCCAGGCCAGCCTGGAACCTTGATCCTCCTATTTTATGCTCCTGCCACAGCTGGGATACCACATGCCCAGCTTTTGGATGAGATAGGGATCCCACAAACTTTTTGCCCAGGCTGGCCTGGAACCATGATCCTCCCCATCGCAACCTCCCATGTAGCTGGGAATGACAGAAGTGAGCCGTCACGCCCAGCTATTGGTTGAGATGGGGTCTTAACTTTTTATCTAGGCTGGTCTCTTCCAATCTCAGCCTCCCATGTAGCTAGGATTATAGATGTGAGCCACTGGAGCCCCCACTACAGTATTTTTTAATTCACAAAAACAGTATATATTTATCATATACAGCATGTTCTGAAATATGCATAAATTGTGGAATGGTTCCATCTAACTAACATGTGAATTCTCTCACAGATTTATCATTTTTTGTGATGCAAACACTTAAAATCTACTCAGCAATACATTGGGTTTGTTGTTGTTTGTTTGTTTTCTTTTGTTGGCAGGACTGAGAATTGAGCCCAGGCTCTCATGCACGCTATGCAAGTATTCTCCCACTAATCTATATCCCGAGTCCATTAGTTGTTGCTTTCATTTTATTTTGAGACAGCATCTCATTAAATTGCTTCAAACTAGCCATCCTTCTACCTCTACCTTGCCAGTAGCTGGGATTACAGGCAAGCACCACCACTCCTGGATCAATGCACTGTTATAACTATACAGTCAGCATTTTGTGCAACATATAGCTTGAATTTATTCCTTCTATTTCAATGAAATATTCTCTTTTGATCAACAGGCATTACTTTACAAGAAGCTGGGCACCAGTGGCTCATGCCTGTAATCCCAATACCTGGAAGGCTGAGATCTAGAGGAGTGTGACTGCGGGTCAGCCAGGGCTAAAGTTCATGAGATCCCATCTCAAGCAACAGCTGACTGCAGTGATGAGAGTCTGTCATCACAATTCAGGAAACATAAAATAGGAAGATCACAGCCCAGGCTGGCCTGAGCAAAAATCGAGACTCAATAATAATAGAGCAAAAAGGGTTGGAGCCGTGCCTAAAGTGACAGTGCCACTGCCTAGCAAGCACATGAAGCTCTGAGTTCAAACCCCAATACCCCAAAACCACCACCACCAAAAAAAAAAAAAATTCTCCCTAAAAATAAGGAATGTATAGCTCTATTGTAGAGGACACATCTAGCATGTATGAGTGAGGCCCTAGGTTTGATCTCCAGCACTGTGCAAAAAAATCAACCTTGCCATTCAATAAGATCCAGAACCAGTAAGTATATTCTACTTTTTTCCTTTTTTTCTGGCAATACTGGCATTTGAACGCAGGGCCTCACACTTGCTAGGCAGGCACTCTACCACTTCAGCCACTCTGCCATTCTTATTTTTGTGTTAGGCATTTTCAAGATAGGGTCTTGAGAACTATTTGCCTGATTTCTGCCTCCTGAGTAGCTGATTACAGATGTGAATCACCAGCA